AATTAAATGAAACGTTTATGGTTTTGTTATAAACTATATCCAAAACTTTTCGACGAATATCTGGTGTAATTGATCCTTACAGAGACGTGGTTACTCAATGCATTACAAAACTTACTTATTTTCGGCAAGCCTTTGGCAACCTTAACGGTCCCGTCACTGACATAAACAAATTGAAGTCTAAACAAGAAGTCGGGATTTTTTTAGCACAACATAGGATAGGATTCTCCTTCAATCCCGTACACTGGAGATTTACGAGGTTAGATAATTTTGACCACAGACGTATATTAATTTCACCCGTCACATAGCTATGCTATCACTATCACCTGTCACGATCACTATCACTAAAAACAAACAATGATAGGTGAATAACCGCTAGATCGTTTCTGATAAGATTTGACGTCTTGATATATACATCACGTCTCGTTAGATAGAAAATATGATTATTTAAAATTAGTTGAATATTTCGCACGTTGAAACTAGGCCTATTAACCCGGGAAACTCGGTCTAGAAAATTTCGACGATTTTTGCCATTTTCGAGAGTAACTAAACAACTAACGAAAAAACTTTATTAAATAGTTGATTGTAAAGATACGCAAGACTGTTTTGGCACATACGTAACAAATAGTGCATTCAAGAGAATAATGTCTACATTTATGACCCATTTTCCCAGAGGTATTTTTATTTTATACGGGGTGCTTGTAAAATTTTTTGGGCATCAACTTCGACTAGAGGAAGCTAAGGACTAACAAACCCAGTGGGGCTGGCCGGAAACTGTTGAATGTATTAATGACCTTCTTCCGATAATGCCAGGCAGAGTACCAGACCTTGACAAAGCACTTGTCGCCATTAAAAAGGCTCATACTCAACATTTGGTTCGAATATGATGAGTCAATACGTCCCACAACAAATAAAGAAACCATTGTACCTCACTTATTCGCATGTGCGATGTGCCCTCAGCAATCTACGGTTCCCACACAGCGTTGAGGTCGCGGCCAAGTCATTTTTCAATCACACCAATGTCATTGGGACAAGACGTCCTCTAGAGTCCTTTGTGAATTTGCTATCGACGCAGAATACCTACATAGATATTAGAGATAAATTACGACTTATAAGAATAGTTAAACTTTTAAAGAAAAATGAAATTTAAAAAAAATTTGGCCTATTTTTGAAAATTCATGTTTATAAAGTTGCTAACAGATTTGCTCGATTTTTGACAATTGTTACTATCACCAGGTCGCAATGGATAAATATATAGGTTTATATCGAACATATTTATATTTGCATCTATGCCTAATTTAAATTCCACAATGTCGATCGTCAAAAAATATGATGTTGCTTATACCACTACGATTTTGTCTGATCATCAAAAAATCGAGTTTATAGCTTTAGATACTAGATATTTTAAGAAATATGAACGTGGAAATAAAATATACATTTCAAGCTATAAGCTTGAAACAGCAATCCATCCTTATGTCATTGACTTACCATCCATTCGGACGAAGATTTTTGTTCCATTCTTCCCGATAGAACTACGGTGTTTCCTGAACGCTACAGATTTAAGGCTAGACTTCTGTCTAGCCTTAAATCTGCCTTCTGGCAGAGCTAGAGTAAATAGGTATTTACTAATAGTAAACAAAATTGTACCATCATTGGCCATATCTTTTCAGCATCAGGTAAAAAAGCCAAGCGTTCGTTTTTTGTTTGATTTTGTGTTTTATTCTAGAATGTAAAGATTCTCTGCAGTTTCCGGGGCGTTCGTCACGCGCGCAGCTAGCGCGTCTTAGGGTCGTATTCTAGAACTCTACTCAATGCTCAAGTCAGGACTTGAGTATGATTCAAAGAACTAGAAATCATACTCAAGTCCTTGCCATTAGGGTCGTATTTCCAGTGCTTGAAATCATACTCAAGTCTGCTCAAATCTAGTAGAGGGCATGAGGCGAGGAGACGCGCGGGTCACGTGAGTTGCCTTTTAAGTCGGTAGCTATGTCCGCACTTGTCGCAGGATACTGTTACTTGGCATCTCCAGCACTAGCCCGGAGAGCTAGTAGAGGATAAGCTAGACATCTTCCAATTCCTCCGGCAGCGTAGCAATTTGGGAATTGGAGAGACGCCGTTCATTCGGCGTCGGGAAGTGAGCGTGCCTTACACCTCCGCCAGCAATGAGGAGATTTGGTAGTCGACTTATCAGCGCTGGCAACTGTTAATCGTGCGGAGCGCGACGAGAGTGAGCGTGCCTACAGCTCCAGTACCTATCTGGAAAATAGGGAGGGTGCTGTACGTGCACCGCGGGGCTCACCTAAGGTACTAGCTTGACAGAGAACCGGATGAAGTCCGTGCAAACGGGCTGACCTGGGGTTAGGACCTGTCTTAGTTGGTCCTTTCCGCATAACCAAGAGGTTGATAGGGAGGGTCACTATAAACACAATTTATGTAGTTATAGGACTCGTCCGGTTTGGTACGAGTAAAATGTCAATTTTTATTTTAATAATAATTCAGATTTATACTTAGTTTTGGTTTTTAAGATGTTAATTTGTTTAATGTTTTTATTTTTGCAGATTACCTAGTCCTCTATATACTGTGTCTACGGTATAGGTCCAAAATACCAATATGTTTTTACCAAAGTCGAGGGCAGGCTGAAAGACAGAGCTGCGCGAGCCAGAAAGCTGAGACTGTCCCACACACACAAATCATTGTTTTTTTTAAAATATATATACTATAGATAATCTTGTTTTCTCTTATTCTGTATTTTATGTCTGTGGAAATAAATGATTTACTTTACCTAAAAAAAAAGCATCAACAACCAATTATTTAGTAGTAATGATGTGGCTTAGGGGACTGGTGGGATGAGTCTACCTGCGAAGCCTGCGGTCGCGAGGTCACATCCCTGTTAATTAGTGTTTCTTTAGTTTTACACATTGACTTACAAATAAATGGACGACGGATCTAATACAAAAACCACGAAAAAAATGTCCCAAGTCAACCTATTTAAACGTAGTGACATGTAAAGGAATATGAAAAAGCTAAAACGTTGAATTTAAATTGTAATGTCATCGCAGTACTGTCTAATTTTGCTTGCTTCGCTGTCAGTCGAACAAACGAAGACTAAAGCGTGAATGACGCTCTGTATACGATTTTAACGCCCTATAAGTTCGGACACTTTTTAGCGCGTACCCGACATCCATATAATTGTAAGTCAATGGTTTTACATATAAATTTGTTTTAGCATCTATGGTTTAACTATTCGTTTTTGGTTAAAAAATTTATTCACTTTTTTTTCTTAAATCTTAATGCCCTTATAACCATTGTTATTACTATTTACGAGTAATTACCCATATACTTGTTGTCTATAGTACAGTTTAAAAATTTTCTGTATTCATTAATTTTGTAATTACGTTTGTACCAAAATAATTGAAAAAATGGAAAAAAAAACAGGTAGTGATTTTGAGCCTATTACATGTTACTTCTATCTAACTGGCTCCGTGGCCAAACGGTTACCATGCCGAACTGACACGCGGATGTCCTGGGTTCGATTCGATGTAATTATATTCGTTTGGATGTAATTTGTGGTTGTCTATGTGTGTGTCCATGGCATCCGCGACACAGGGTTTTCCTAGTGCTATGAGTATGGCTATGAGTGTGTTGCGTTATTATTATTATCTATTTATACTAATTTTAGATAGGTGCTATATCAGTTGCGAGGAAACCAAATAACAACAAAACTTCATGCCGAAATGTTTATTAAAATTCATTATAATCATTAAAAATTTAAAACAACTGAATTCAATGATTGCATAATCAAATTTTTCATTAAATAAAAACAAGAATGCAATCCCGGGTATTGCCATGCAAATGTTTAAAACTCGAATTTAAGTATCATCACTCGAATATAATTAAACCTAAAATCAAGTTTTATATAGCAAGGCGAATTGATCTCAGGATATTGATTTCTTTAATTCAAATTACAATCCTATAATCTTTGATTTGTATAAACAATAATTAAAATCTGATTTACATTATCAATTGTTGAAGTAAACTGTAAATAAATTAAACAAAAGCATGTCAACAGCATATTGTCTAACTTATCTAAACGTTATTATAATAAATTAAAATGAATATTAAATTATCAATTAATCAAGATTAATACTGAGTCATGCACACTCGCGAGTTGATAATGTAAAAAAATAATGAAGTCATGCGTTAGAATGTTTTAGTACCGGTTAGTCAATTTTCAAAACAACACAAATACTTAACAATAAAAAACAATTAAATTGTATCTCTATAAATTGAATTGTATATTTCATTTGTACATTCGCGAAATGTCATGATCCGGAAGGAAATCGGAAGAACGTAATTATCACAAGATATTAATTAAATTATCAGTCATTTTTAACTTATAAACTAGTATCATTTTTACCATTCCCTCCTGGACCTTACAAAATCGAACAATTATCATTTAATTACAAATTATTTTAATTAAAACATTCAAGACTGCTCTATGTTACATTTGATTATTTCATCCTAAAATATCGCATTCAAAAAGTATCTCTCATTCAATGGTGTCAGTTTTCTGAATTTTGAAGTACAATTATGATTATACAACAACAGCCAACTTCAAATTTTCCCATTCAGATATTCTGTAACCGTATAGAGTAATTAATGTAAACAGAAGGTACACATGATCCAATTGACAACTTTATAGCAACGTGAAAGAGCTCTTCTGCAATTTATTAAGGTGGTAAGCTCTTGGTAATACGTACAGGTCGATTCCAATGGATCTGTTAAGTAAGGTATATTACAATGTCTGTGTTCATTGCAACCGTAATGGCTTCTTCTTTAAAAGAGCTTCATATTTTTATCAATGTTCTTAAAGATCCATGATCTATATCAGAATGGCAACTATTAACCATTGTTGGAAAAGGAATAATGTTACTTCAAAAAGTCAGGCGATTAAAGTGCAGTGATAAATTTTGATTGCTAATTTCATAGTATTACAATTATTCTTGAGAATAGAGAAGTAATGAAACATATCAATGTAGCATAAAGAGTCCTTGCAAACAAGAGATGGTGGACGTAGATTCTATTTTTAATAAAGTTGAAGATTTGCAACGGACGTGGCCAGATGTATCTGAAACAAGGAAACATTGTTAAAACAAAACGGACAGAATACGTAAGCAAGTAGGAGAAATACCTTAGTAATTCTACTAAATATTGTGTATAAAAATTAAGTACTTTAGTTTGAATTGAAGTTTATTGAAATGAAATAGAAAGTAAAAGTTAAATTAAAACACCCATGTAGCATGGCTACCTATGGTAATAGTAAATAAGGTAATATAGGTCAAAGTATTGGCTATGAACCGTGAGGAGTGGAGAAGGTTACACCGAGAAGAGTCTAGCTCTTACATAAGATGATGATTAAAAGTTTAATTTCATCTTATTTATTGAGGTACCATATACCATATAGCGCTATTGGCTATCTAAATTAGATGTGATTGAGACAGCCAATAGCGCGCGATTATTTTAATTTTATCGCGCGTGTCGCGACTATCATGCGTCGCCATGCTACGGTAGTAGGTCAAGTTGTAGAGAGTAAAAACCAACATAAACGTTACATGTTTTAGATTTTTAAATGTCTTCAAAAAAAGAAGAGGGTCTCAATTCAACTTTATTTTTTTGTGTGTATGTTAAGCGATTGCTCCGACAGTTGTAAACTGATTTTGATGATTCTTCTTTTGTTGGAAAGAGGGTACCTCAGTAGTCGTCTCATTCAAATTTGAAGAAAATGTTCCACCTCTAAAGGCGGCAAATTAGGCGACGAATCTCTGATTTCAATAATTCCTCACAAATAGATGTAATTCCACAAATTTTTGAGGTCGGTTTTTTTTTTCAAAATGTTAAAACTTGGGCCAATATTAAAATAAAACAACGATTATAAAAACCTTATTCAAAATGCGCTTTATGCAATTTTACAAAATATCAAAGTTACATAGTTAATAGTGTTGTAAGACCATTCACTCTCGCACATTTCAAATCCCCAATGATTACATCTAATAGACATCGCACAATTTAACAATGAAGTCCTTTTAACTATTCAACATATATGTGAGTACATCTGGTGAAGAAAAAATTGCGAACTCAATTGAGAACTAGATTCAAAATTGCAATGTCATATTTTCCAAAAAAAAGCCCCCAAAGGATATATGAGAAACTGTTGTTGTAGATGACAATGCAAGAACTGAAGTAGCTACTCCACATTCTAATGACGGTAAAGTAATAGAGTAATAACACAAATCGATAGAGATGAAAGGAACAAGCACCATTAATTTTATTATAGCATTAACAATAAGTTAACGTTACCTACGACTTAAATTGAATTAGATTTAACTAAAGTCTGGTACCAAATTCTGAATCAATAGGTTAGCTGTGGTAAAAACTTATGTTGCACAGTTTTTTGAGGTGTCTATCAGATATTTTCTGGACAGATTATTAACACAAATTCCTTTATGTGGTATCAATATACCGGTTGATATTCAAAATTTGCCATTTACGACTTTTAAAATTATTAATAAAACAAAAACTTTACACTAAAGATTCTCACGAAAGCTTCTGCGTGAAAAAAACTCTTGCAGGTCTCGACCTATGATATTTGAAACAAGTATTGTAATAGTAAATGTGTGCAAATAATTATATACAAAGGGCCAATCCCTAGACTTTTATACTCATTCTTTTCAAGGGAGTCTGCCTTGCGAATGAGCAATAGAGTTCAATCAATGTGACGATTTCAAGTGTAAGTAGTTAGAGTTTAAAAATAGGTATGCTAGAAGCAAATGGCTAAATGAAAATAACTAAGTATGCATTGACGACGGTGACTCAACGATTCGCACTATGAGCACCTCGAAATTAGTTCAGGTCTGGTGTATCTTTTTTTTTTAACATATAATAGACACACGCTTGGCTACAATCTCACCTGATGTTAATCGACGATGTGACCGACGATGGAACGCGTTTGCCTAAAATTGCTGCTTATACACTCTAGCCTTGAATAGCCCAAAATTGTATTTTTCGGGAAATACAGATAGACCATTAGAGCCGGTAGAGCATTCCATTCCTTTGCCGTACGCATCAGAAAGGAGGAAGCAAAGCGCTTAGTGTGAATAAGTGGAATATCAACGACATAAGATTGGAGTGCTCCGGCCCTTCTAGTCGACCGAAGGAGGAACGGTGAGGTTGAAAAGTTCCTGCGCACACTCCTCGAAATGTATTCGATAGAAAACCGACAAGCAGGCTACTTTTCTGCGATGGTCGAGATTTGGAAGTTTCAACTCCACAAGAGAATTATTGTTAATAAAAAATATCTGTAGTATATCTAGTGTTCCAGACTGAAATCCGTTGCTCTGATATACACAGTACAGGGAATACACTAGGTTGAGATCAGAAAATTGGTGTGGTTGTTTGGCACTTTAAAGTTGTCATTTATTGCTGCTAAATCATACAAGGTCAAATTTGTATAATGTGGTTTAGTGTCTACAAAACGTCATGGCTTCACAGATGTAATTATAGACTTTTCAATGGCAGCGCATACAATTTTAAACCAATCTAAGAGCCAACATAAAACTGCGACGAATTCGGCAATAAATCCAAAATGGGGGACACGAGATTGATGTACGAAACATGAGCCAGCGTTTTCTCCTGGATCAATAACCGACGAAATACAAGAATTTCGACAATCCTTTTACAGCGAAGCGCTCCAAAGTTATGATCTGCAGAATAGAGTTTTTGCTGATATAACTTAACGGTGAGGATTATTGTGAACGAGGTCACAATAATAGAATGACGAGTGGGTTTACATTTTCGTTTAAATCTTAATTGGGAATATAATATTGAGAAGACACGTCTTGATAAATAGATAAACGATAAACAAAGGATCTTCTTATTGTTTTTGTATCGAACACAAAAACAAAAGCGAACAAATATTAAGTAATCAATTTTATTGATTTTGTTATTGTTTACATATTAAGCTCAAAACGAAATTTTTATGTAATGGAAGCTTTTTGAAATGGTGACATATAAGTGGAAAAATGGTTGCTTCAATTCAGGGTTTGTACATGTCTGAATATTAAGTAGCAATACAAAGTACTAACGGTAACGGAAAAACCACCGTGTTCGTCACCTACACGTCAAGGAAGTTTCACAACCCTTGGAAAACGTATGAAGTCCTCATGAGCCAGCATAGGAAGTCTATGACCTAAAACCTCTCTGGGGTGACAATGATGATGATGGTAATGATGAATCTCTTCGCATTGTAAACAGAAACGGAAATATATTATACACATGAATCATATATTAATATCTACGACGAAGGTTATATAATAAACAGTACATCATCACTAATATAGAAAGTATCACTTAAAAAGGCATACCTACCCAAAATGGCTTAGTTAAAGGTAAATGCTCCAAAATTCGCATGGCAACAATGGCTGTTATCACCATTACAATTCGGATGTTATTAATCACGTAACCTCGATTCGTCCACACCCATCGCTTGTCTAATCTCTACACATTACCCCATTTCTTAATCCCGTATATTACTTTCTGCCACTGTTTGTTAATCTCTGCTACTGTACCATCAATTTCAAAACGAAGTTCTCCTTAACTGCTTTATGGAACAGATGAAGAATATTTCTCTACAAAAGTTTGTGATTCGAGTGCAGGTTCTTTGTTGAGTGGTTTGGGTAGCTACACTATTACGATAAATATACATTACATTTTCGCGATTGTTGCACATTGAAACTGTAACTAATACTCGGATCTATCGCGCATAACCAATATTTAGAGCTCTTTACAGGTCTCATGATCACGGTTGACGCGTAGAAACGCTGGTTTGTTTGAAAAAACATAATATATGTAACTTTACATCCGTCACAATTAATTTGACTAAACAAGATTATTTGTAAAATACAAGCAACCCAGGACTACATTACTAACATCATAAACAACAACTTTTGTTCAACTTTTTACAGGATGTAATAATCCGTAATAAAGGTGATGATGCAAAATTCAATTGTTCATTTATTACACAACCACTGTTGTTGTTTCAGTAACAACAGGATGTTATACATTCATCAAAAAAAAAAACCTTTAAGTATTTGTGGTACTATCTGACACACTGTTACTTTTTTTATAATACAAGTCGTGCGCCTGATGGTAACGAGACGCCTGTCCAGAAACATTGCAGTGCCACTCAAGAGCTTTAAATCGCAAAAATGTGAGGTGCACTGCCTATGCGCCCATCACCTTGAGACAAAAGTTGAAGATGTGCCTGTAATTTGACCAGCACCTTTACCCTTCACCGGAATTCAGTAATGCTCACATTACTGCTTGGCGGCAGAAGTAGGTAAGGCAGTACTTCCCTGGATAAATACATTCCTGCGCGGTTATTAGTACTTAAATAGAACTGGACCACCTGTCCCTTCCTCTTCTTGCCTCTACTCAACTCAAAGTATTTGCAGTGCATGAGTGCTACTTGCGAGCGCACTTTGCAGTCAGCACATTCTAGACGGAGAACAATTTTCTTAGTGATTTTCGCCTTCTTTTTAACCAACTCCGAAAAAGACGAGGTTCTCAATTCGACAATTACTTACGATTTTGTTTATTCTTTTTTTGTCGGAAAGAGGGTACCTCACTCGTACCAAAAGTTTATTTCATCTTATTTATTGAGTTACCTTGGAAGTTTTATTTCGAAGTTTTTACGTGGAAGAATGAATCGCCGAGAAGTTAAGGAATATTTGCATGTATTAACGTTTAATGAATAGGTCTATTAATTTGGGATCTCATTTATTTGAGTCTTTGATAAGAATTTCAATGAGTACGTGAAGCTGCGGCCATTGGGATCAAACATGCTTTCATGCAAATGCCACTGAGGAGCATGGCTCCTGAAATAAGAATTAATGCAGTGTTTTTCAAGTCTCGTCGATTATCTTAATTATAAATAATTGAAAATATTTAATAGTAATAGAGTAATTTTTTTCATTTATGGGTCGTTTTCAGAGAACCTTTAAAAATATGTCCCTTTCAATAACTTTTATGTTATTACATGAATGCTAAGCATTATTTATTTAATATGATTGC